CCTGGAAAATCAATCTTTCTAAGGTGTATGACAGACTAAATTGGGAGTTTATTGAGTATGTGCTGAATGAGGTTGGTTTTCCTTCGAGTTTGGTTCAACTTATGATTGAATGTGTATCCACCATTAGGTGCCAAGTTTGTTTTAATGGCGATTAAGAGATGGTTTTATTCCTCAAAATGGTATTCGGCAAGGGATCATTTGTTTGTTCCATGTACAGAGGAACTCTCTCATATAATTTATACAACTGTGAATAGAGGAAGGTAGAAACCTGTTGAGGCTTCTCAATCTGGACCTGAGGTCACTCATCTATTTTTTGCAGATAATTCAATTCTGTTTTCTGAAGCTACTCCAAAGAAAGCAAGATAAATGAAAAGGTACCTTGAAATTTTTTGCAAAGCTTCTGGTCAAGCCGTTAACTTTGAAAATCTGTTCTTTATTGTTCTCCAAACACGTCGAGGGCTGTTGTTAATGGGAATTACTTAGGAATGACTCTAGTTTAGACCCAAAACTCATGAAAGAATTAAGTGTTCTTATACTTGGAAAGGGATTTGTATGGAGCTGATCTCCTTAAAAAGGGTTTCATGGGTCCTAAATGTCCCTTTATTTGAAACTATTGATGTTGCTAATATCCACAATGTTGATTGTGTTGTCTCATATTTTTTAAGTAATGGTTGGTGGGGATCTTGAGAAGCTCAGAGACGTGTTGCTAAAGGATATGGTTCAAAAAGTTGTGTCAGCCTTATGGTACTACTGGTGCAAGTATGGATAAAATTATTTGGAGAGGTGTTTCTAATGGAGTTATCAATGTTAAGTCAGCTTATAATCTGGTCTTTGATGGAGAGGATTTGCCTGACTCTTGCTGGGATTTTACTAAAAGCTTTTCTTTGGTTGATGAGTAAAGAGAGATTGCTTTCTAACGGGCAGCGAGTTAGAAGACATTTAACTTCTAATTCTTCTTGTAATACTTGTTGCGGAACAATTGGATTCATTGCTCTTATATTCAAGGCAACTGAGGAATGCCCAAAATCTTTATTTTAAGGCTTGGTTGCTGGCAAATCTTAAAGTGAGTTCAAAGGGGGTGCTTGGTGTACTCTTTTCCCTTTTACTTGTTGATTTGGAAAGGGAGAAACAAGCACATTTTTATGTCAATTTTGTCATGCTTATGTATCCAAAAGCGATCATTGTGAGAGATGTGGCTTTTGTAAAGTCTTCTGTTGAACCTGTCAATAGGGGTGGGTACGGTGCGGTTTGGTGCGGTTCCACCCCTAAATTGGAACCGAAACCGAAATATATTAACGGTTCGATTCGGTGCGGTTCCACTTAAATTTATTACTAGAACATTACGGTTTGGTCTACACCGGTTCCGATTCGGTTCTTGCCGGTTTACGGTTCCTAATAATAAATTATTTGAACACCAAATCATTATGCATTCAAATACATCTTCTAAAACTGATTACATAAAGTTGCATACAACACATCTTTTTTAATGCAAATGTCTTTGTTAGTGACACCAAGTCAACAAAAAGAGACAACTAAAATACATATGCACTGGTCAATCAGTCAACAAAGAAAAAAATGATAAAGCAAATTGCAGGTTTTCAGACTTCAGAGAGCAAGCAAGAAGCAGCAGCTCCTGTACACAATTTTTCAACCTATTTTTCAACCTATTATACCATGACATGTGTGTGTATATATAATTTATTTATTTATTATTAATTAAACGGTTAGGTTCGGTTCGGCCGGTTCTTGGTCATTCGAAACCGGAACCGGAACCGGTTTGAACGGTTCGGTTCGGTTTTTCACTCAAAGTTGACTTTTCCGGTCAACACGGTTTTTTTCGGTTTTTTTCTTACGGTTCGATGCGGTTTTGCGGTTTGACGGTTTTTATGCCCACCCCTACCTGTCAAGAGACAAAATTCACTTTCTTGGGGATGATCCTGATGTATGTTGGTGTAAGCTAAACGTGGATGGATCTAGAAGGACAAATTCCAGTTGAATTGGGGTTGGTGGCGTACTAGAAGATCGTAATGGCGACCGGTTAAGAGGCTTTGCTGTAAATTTGGGACAAGGGCAGGTTTGTGATGCTGGATTATGGAGTTTATACTTTGGTTTACAACTTGCTTTTGATAAGGATGCTACTGATCTTTGAGATGGACTCCTAGCCTATTGTTATGTTGTTAAAGCGAACCCAAGTTGATAATTTCCTTCCTCTGGACACATTTATGCATAGCTGCAGATTAATGATGAGACAATTAAGGAAGTGTGAGTCGAGACACATTTATAAAGAGAAAAATATTGTGACGGATCAGTTGGTTAATTGGAGTTTAATATAGATATTTGCATTCTTTATTTGATGGGTCTCCCATTTGGATTAGACCAGCTCTTATAAATGATGCCATTGGAGTCCCTCCAACTCATTTTGCTGTTATTTTGTAGTTTTCTCTTTGGTTATACTTCCTGTTCTTCATTAAAAAAAAAAATAAAGTAAAATAAAAATAAATAAAATAAAAAAACCTAGAGAGTACACATTACCCTCCACCTGTGGGTGAGACCGAGATTTTTAAATTCAACTTTTTCAGATGCCAACTTTATGTTAAATTTATTACGGTTGGTTTATTAGGTGGTTTGTAAACATATCATTTTATCGTCACGGTGACCACCTGTATTTACAATGACTCCCCTCCTTTTACAAGCCAGTTTTGTATGTTCAAGCTCTATCAACAAGCTCATATTAATTTGTTGCATAATTCATTATTTGGTTGTAACCACTGCTTAAAATATCAATATGCCAATTTATTGAAATATATCGATATCGGTTGACTTTTGATAGAAATTATGAAAATTTGCAATGAAATGAGTATATCAACTCATTCAGATTTAATCGAAATTAGAGAAAAATTTCTTAGAAAAAAAAAAAAAAATTCAAAAGTTCAAAATCTATAATGGGTTCCTGCAAAATTTTTGTACTGAATAAGTAAACATCATCGGTATTCATTGATTCCCACCCACAAGAAACTACTTTTGCTCCTCCTCAAGCCCCAAGCCAGCTCCTGCATTTGTTCACCTTCGAGTTCCGCTACGCTGCCAAACGATACATAAGCAACTGAACCTTTCGGCCGGCTCGTGCCATCTTCGAGTCGCTTGTTCAAGTAGTTGGACAGCATAGCTGGTCCAACGGTCCTCAATCGGCAAAGCTAGTTCAAATTTAGTCCTAGTTCACAACATTTCGGTCCTTCTTTCTTCGATGTTGAATAAAAAAAACCCTTGTGGAACAAAAAAATTTCCAGCAGAGTTTGCATGACTAAGATCCGACAACAGACCCAAAGGTTAAATCTTAAACAACACAATACAAGGGGGAAATTATTGTACGAAATTAACATTGGCAACTCGCATTGCAAATCAAGTAGGCAAAACCAAAACATAGTTTTCTACAGAGCTGAAGCCATTAAAACACAAGGTCTTCTGGGCAAACCAACAAACGATGATACACAAGATTAGAAAAATGACAAACCATAGAAACTTCAATTCAAGACGCTTAGTACTCGTCTTCTCCATCATCCTCGCCTTCAGCGGACTCGGCACCAACTTCTTCATAATCCTTCTCAAGGGCAGCAAGATCCTCACGGGCTTCGGAGAACTCTCCTTCCTCCATACCCTCACCCACATACCAGTGCACAAAGGCACGCTTGGCATACATGAGATCAAACTTGTGGTCAATTCTAGAGAACACCTCAGCAACACTGGTCGAGTTAGAGATCATGCACACAGCCCTCTGCACCTTGGCAAGGTCACCTCCTGGGACGACAGTAGGTGGCTGGTAGTTGATGCCGCACTTGAATCCAGTAGGGCACCAGTCCACAAACTGAATGGTGCGCTTGGTCTTGATGGTGGCAACGGCAGCATTCACATCCTTGGGTACAACGTCACCACGGTACATCAAACAGCAGGCCATATATTTGCCGTGGCGGGGGTCACACTTTGCCATCATGGATGAGGGCTCGAAGGCACTGTTGGTGATTTCAGCCACAGAGAGTTGTTCATGGTACGCCTTCTCCGCAGAGATGACTGGTGCATATGAGGAAAGCATAAAGTGGATTCTGGGGTATGGGACCAAGTTGGTCTGGAATTCAGTCACGTCCACATTAAGGGCACCATCAAACCTCAGAGAAGCAGTCAAAGAGGAAATGACCTGAAAACAAAACAGAAATGAAATTTAGTAACAATCCACTTTGTACAAATCAATGTGATCTGAATTCTGTCTTCAAACTTTTAAACCAGATAGTTGTGTACCTGAGACACAAGGCGGTTGAGGTTGGTGTAGGTGGGTCGCTCAATGTCAAGAGAGCGCCTGCAGATATCATAGATAGCCTCGTTGTCAAGGAGAACTGCAACATCGGTGTGTTCCAGGAGGGAGTGGGTTGAGAGGACACTGTTGTAGGGCTCAACCACAGATGTAGAAACCTGTGGAGATGGATACACAGTGAAACCAAGCTTTGACTTCTTTCCATAGTCAACAGAGAGACGCTCCAAAAGAAGGGACCCAAGACCAGAGCCGGTTCCTCCACCAACAGCGTTGAAAACAAGGAACCCTTGAAGCCCAGTGCAGTTGTCAGCAAGTTTACGGATGCGGTCTAAGCAGAGATCAACAATCTCCTTGCCAATGGTGTAATGACCACGGGCAAAGTTGTTGGCAGCATCTTCTTTGCCACTAATAAGTTGCTCAGGGTGGAAGAGCTGGCGGTAAGTTCCAGTCCTCACTTCATCAATAACAGTGGGCTCAAGATCAACAAAAACAGCGCGAGGCACATGCTTGCCAGCTCCAGTTTCACTGAAGAAGGTGTTGAAGGCATCATCACCTCCACCAATGGTCTTGTCACTAGGCATTTGGCCATCAGGCTGTAAAAGAAGACAGAAAATTAACAAACAGCTCAATAACAAATTCAAAGCATTCACATCGACTCGTAACAAATTTTCAAAACAAAGCGCTGTTAAAAGAATTAACCTATTCCATCCAAAAATGATCAGCAAGACACAAGAAGAAAAAAAGCTGACAAAGTGAATAGGATGGACGTAGATTAATTTGAGGGACCTGTTCATCCCAATAGCACTCAAACCACTGCTAACGGGCAGACGTAAAGTCCCAATTACAAAACCAAATGAGACAATATTTCAAAACAATAAATGGCAATCAATCCATTAACGATTTCACCTTCACATTTCAATAAAAGCACAAAGTACTGAAAATAACATCAAACATAACAAAATCGGTTGAATTAAAAAATAATTACATTAATTTTCACCATCACATTTCAATAAAAGCACAAACTACTCAAATGAATTGACAACACCAATAACATTAATGTTCGCATACAAATCAAAATTAACATTTATAGGTGTCTCCGATGGTCAGAAAACACGAATCTGATCGATAACTGAGTCAAATGCTGATGACATCACAGAGAATCAGAGCGCAATAGTCACAGATCTATCCGAAACCGAACAAATCACAAATCGAAAATGCAAATGTGCATGCGAACAAAATCGATAGATAAATATAGAGAGAGAGCGAGAGAAAGAGAGGATACCTGAATGCCATGCTCAAGACAGTAAAGCTCCCAGCAGGCATTGCCGACCTGGATACCAGCCTGACCGATGTGGATCGAAATGCACTCCCTCATCTTTGCCGATCGAAACCGCGAAACGAAACCGAAGAAAGAGAGGCTCTCACAAACAAGAAGAAGAGTCGAAAGCGTTTATTAAGACGCCTTCTGAAACCCCCTCTGTTTTCTGATGATATCTGATGGGGGGTTTCGCGGGCGGTATTTATACGTGGAAATGCCAAGGAGGAGATGGGGGAGATAAGAAATTTAACCAGAGGTGGGGTAAGGGTTGCTTACGATTGGGGAGGGAACCGACGGCCATGATTGAGTGGTTGGCTGTCTTTGATGTGGTGCTGGTCTGGCTTAACCACCCTCTTTTAACCGCGGTTGGCTTTTCAATCTTATTGTTTGTTTTCTTTTTTTTTGGTTTAACAAATGATATTAATTGAGGCAAAACTAAAATTGAGTTCTTATGCTTTCATCTAAATAAAACTGCCTGATAACAGTTCGACTCATACGTATTTGGTTACTAATTGAAGCTTGTGGGTCACAAATATACGAACTTGGAAAACCTTTGTGCGGCAGCATAAATGTCCTTGCCCGTAAAACTTGCCCAATTTTATGCGCAAAACTAAAGCAATCCGGGGACCCCAAATCCAACCACCGCAATGCAAGTTTGTGTCACTGACAACTATGGATTACCTTTACCTTTGGGATTGTAAATAGGGAACTTAATGAAAAGTTTATGATACTATTCATTTTAACAAAGAATTATATTTTTACACTAAAAAATTAATTTTGGTACTGACACACCTCGACCGAAATCAAGGCGTGCTGGCCGTCAGACAGGTACTATTCATTTTACCCTTTATTTTGTTCTTATCGTTAAAACTTAAAATTTTCAAACTCTTATCATTAGTTTTCCTTTGTAATTATGAGTGGCATATATCATTGGAAAACAATTTCTGTAAATTTTTCTTCTTCTTTCATATTTATTTTTGTTCATAGTAAAAAATAAAAAAGAATACATAGAGAGAGAGAGAGAAAAAAAAAAAAAGGTTTCATAAGCTTCTAAAGCTACATACTAAAATTTCATATCGATCTGATGGTCGGATTTCTGCCAATCGCAAACTTAGATGGTGTTCCACAACGAAACTACGTTAAACGGCGGAATTTTGCTAAATGGATGCCAAAAACGGAATCAAGGCATCGAAATTAGCCAAGAACAACATTTTAGATTTTTCAGCATCGGGCCACCGCCACGCACCACAATCAGCCGGCAACTCATCGCTGTGCGCCACCATATGCGTGGCCTGGGCTTGTTGGAATATTCCTTTTGTGGACGGAATTTTGTTAAAATTAACGAAATATTTGAGGAGTATACCTGACTGATTTTTTGGAGAGTTTTCAAATCATCATATCTTTGTCATTTTTCAACCAAATTCGACGATCCAAATATGAAATTTCATCTACACACACATGAGGAATCGATTTATACCTGTTTGGAGTCTAAAAGATGGCTGGAATATGTTTGATATTGATGAGAAACTCTCGGCCCGTTTTAAACCTCATTGTTCCTCGATTTTTCTTCAGTGTTTCTCGAAACAAAACCCATGGCTGGGTTCGAAGGGACGTGAGGAATAAGAATATGGTGATTTGATGGTCGTTAATTAGATGAAAATTTTGAAGATGACGTTGGCATGTAATTGGCAAGGTGAGCGGCAAGATAGTGAGGGCACCTTTACTAATCTGTAATCAAAATAGAGGGAATTGAATTGAGGAGGAATTATAATTAGATTCTTATATAAGCTGTCTACTAAACCGTCAGGAATCAGAATAGAAATAATGCTGATTCCATACAAGATGTTTACCAAACACTCCAGAATCGATATTAAAGCTAGTTTAATTACTAAACTGAATTACTAAACTGCCCATGTCCTAAAGAAATTCATTTATGGGCTAGTTAGTAAATTTTAATTTTCAAAACAACATAAACGTAGGCTTAATTTTATATATATTTTTTTTAACTAAATAAATAAGTTGGTAAATAAATAAATAAACAAATAAGATAAAGTATAGAAAGAAAGAAAGAAAGAAAGAAATCAATCCAGAAATGAGAACAAACAATTACATATTTTTCCATCATGAATAGGTGGCTGCGGTGCTGGGCATTTGTAGGAGTTATACGGGTGGCCGCGGTGGTCAGCGAAAGGGTAGGATTGTCTCTGGGCTGGCGAGGTGTAGGCTGTTAGGGTAATGAAGGGTAATCTTGGGGTTTAAAAATTCAAGTGAGGGTGTAATTGGCATAAGGTTTCCATTCTGGATTCTCCACGTCCTCAGAAATTGGATTACCACTTGTGTCTATGGAGGGCTTTTTTTTTTTTTTTTTAAATTTTTTTAATTTTTTTTATTTTTTTATTTTTTTTTTGTTATAGCTGTATCTAGGGAGTTGAATTCCTCCAAAATGAGGAATCCAATTCCAAATTTATATGGGTCCCACCACATTTTTTATTCCTTATTATTTAGTAAACAGAAGAATACTTTGAAATTGGAATTAAGTTCCTATTTTTTATTCCGATTATGGTTACGTAAACATGCCCTAAAAGAGACCGATTGAAAGAGAAACGGAAAAGAAGAGAGTAGAGGTTTCCAAAGAAATGGGTACCTGCCTTGGGTTCCACGTGGTATACACACTAATGTCACGTGTGTGGATGCAAATTTCTGCCTTCTTCTTTTTGAACAAAATTGCACCTACAAAACAATTAACACCTTAGGTTGGCCAAGAGCCTCATAAGCTCACGATGAATTGGGGAGGCTTTGGCTGAAGAACCTCCGATGCCAAAGTTAGAATTTAGAGAGAAAAGTGTTTGGAGAGTTTTTGGGAGTTTTGGAAGAGTGTGGAACTAGTCTTTCAAAGAAAATGAAGTTCTATTTATAGAGCATGGCTGGCCCTTGGATGTTTTTTGGGGTATAATGGTGGTTAATTTGGTGATTAATGGATTAATTAGGAATTAATCCATTAACTAGCCTAATTAATTTAATTTATATGGAAGGTTTTAAAAGTTATGGAATGATTTCCTTGTAGAGGATATGGAGTAAAGATGGATGAGATAAATTTGAACTTGTTACCTATTTTGGGCACTGCTCACGTATAGGAAACCCGGAATGTCTCGAGGGTAATTTTGTACTCTTTACCTAAAAATCCACGTGTCGCCTCTTGATTATTCTTGGCTCCACAACATGTGCTAAATAAATGATAAATGACCAAAATACCCTTGGTGATCAAGCTTTGCAGACTCTTCATTATAAATCCAAATTACGTTCCATTTGCGCCCACGCATTTGTATCGACATGTATTATCCAAATATGTCAAGAAATGAGGAAAATATGAAAGGATCAAGTACGATCATGTAGAATTATGTGTAGCCCAACATGGCCTTTTCATCCTTTTATAAATTTATGCCATTTAAATGCGTTGTAACAATTATGAGATATGAAATACAAAATTTAAATAGTGAAATCTGAGGACAAGATTTCACATCACCCAACTCAAAAAGACATAGGCTCCACCCCGTTGAGAGTTTGTACAACGACCCTATACTTGAGGATTTTTTGGTACTTTAGGACTCCATTTTTGGCCATTAGAAGATGCTTAACCGTGTATAATGTTTCTACAATGGTAGGGACAATTTTAGAGACAAAACACTGGAGATGCTCTTAGCAAATGATCGATTTAGGCAAATACATACATACATACATACATACATATACATACATACATACATACATATACATACATACATACATACATATATATATATATATATATATAACACCTATTAGTTATCTGATTGCAAATTAGAGAAAATTGTAGAAATGGTCTCTCAACTTTGACCAATTAGAGCAATGGTCCTTCAACTAAAATCCATAACCATTGGTCCCTTAACTCATCAAAATGTGCAAATGCGGTCATTTTCATCAACTTCGTTAGAATTCTGTCAAAATGAGCTATGTTGGAAAGACCATTGCAACAATTGGGTTAAAATTGAGTAACTATTGCTCCAATTGGGTTAAAAGTGATGGATCATTGCTACGATTTTTCTCATTTGGTTTTCCATATTTACCCCTTAATTTAGCCATGCATACATGACACATGACTTATTTTGATAGAAGTTCTAACGGAGTTTTCAAAAAAGACCATAGCTGAACGTTTTGATGAGTTAACCGACCAATAGTCACATATTGTTAGTTAAGAGACTATTACTCCAATTAGGTTAAAATTAAAAGGCCATTACTACAATTTTTCTTTGCAAATAATTCTTCTTTTGGAAAATAATATTAGTCAATGGTCATTTGCTAACATTTGGAATTCTACATCATTTCAAGAAAGACGAGAGGGAGAAATCGTGGCAGGGAGATTTTTGTTTTAAAAAGTTTGCCTTACAAAGTTGAAAGTTAGGTGTAAATAGATAATTTATGGATTTAAATAAAACTTCTCATACTACATCTGTGATATCCATGTTGTACTTCAGACATTTCACTCTTTCACTACCACGCCGTTCATGTCTTTCTATTTCAGCAACCAAAGTTTGAAATCCTTCTATTATAGCTAATTTCCCTAAAATTTTCACCATTTGGTTCAACAGCATCGAGACTCCAGTTTACTAGAGGAAGTCCTAAGTTCAATTGACGAAAACGAAACAACGCTCACAATGGAAATTTTGAATTTTGACAGAACATATACGATTACAAGACAAAAGCTCAGGGCCAAAGAGACAGAAGAAGATTGAAAATAGACTCTAAAAAAAGACTTGGAGTACTTGGATCTAACAAAAGACTTGGCACAAAATGGAGCTCAATGACATTCTAAGATTCATACAGTTGACCTTACTTAGTGAGATAAGGCGTTGTTGTACCTGTGTATAATACAAGTGCAAGAATATCTTGTTAATCTGTTCAGGCAGGAAGATGCATCATATGTATAACTCCTTGAAGGCCAGAACAAATGGTTATGGGAAAACAAATTTTTATGCTATCTTCTCATCATCCCTTTGATTTGTCAAGTGTTCCTACTTTATTGTATACTCCTATTCTGGTGTGAAATTATAATTCAGCGGGTCTCTCTGAATAGTAAGTCTCAGGTTACAGGCTGTGCGCCGGCCCATGGACGGTTGTCGTCTTCAAAATTCCGGTACTTCTGATTGCGGTTATCTTGATAATAGGCTACTCCAGTCCAGATCCCACGGATGAGTAAGATGCTTAAGAACACTAGACTTCCAAGGGTGCAAACTACCTGGATTTAACACGAACACAATGAAAGTTCAAGATTTTATTAGGAAATCATACAGGTAGCGCATAATAATCATCACCAAAAACAAATATACTAATCTCCAATGCAAACGCTAATATAAGTTTTTGATTGCTGTTTTTTTTATGTAATTTTGAGTACGACCTCACACGTGAGAGCCCTCAATAAGAACATCATCTATAACAATGCGGTGATTTGACAAGCTTATACGTAAACAACCATTGAAGTCCTAAATTTTCTCTCTATCTTGCGAGTTTAATAATTGTAAAATTTTCAACCTGTCGAAGGCCTTTCTAAACACTGAAAATTTAGTGCTTCACCAGAAGATCAAGCTTTTGAAAAAAGCATTGTTCTAGAGCTTATTATCAGAAAATGCTGCGTAAGAAACTGCAGTCTGCAGCTCGGGCTACTTTGAGTAAGTGGGAATGTTGGTATGCCCATGAATTGTGGGCCGCTCTCCCTATTACACCTTGCCTACTGAGTTTTCCTTTCAGATGAATCAGCATTGACAAAGAGCCAATCTTCGCATCTGAAACTGAGCCTTCAACGAAGTTCCTAAATCACCTAAGCTGTTCAATTATTCTCATGTATGTTGCAAAGCTACCATCCAATGAACAGCAATAGCGGAGATAATGACTTATTTATATTCTATCCATTACTAGTATGAATTTGATTTGATTTACATGAGATTTATTCATAGTTGGAAAGAACCATGACCTGTTCATGTCCAGCAACTCAACAAACTTGTGGTCATTCATGCTATAAACAACGCCCCTTTTCTGAAACTGGCGTTGACGAAAAACCTCATGGGCAACATATACGTCTGTGTTTTCGAGTTTTGATACTTCATTCCCTTAAACTAACACCACAAGTTTCATAAACTGTTGATCAAAGCAAAAACAGATGCGTAATGCCACCAACCCTTTATGTAGAATGATCAATAAAACTAAAACCACTTTATACCCAGGACTTGCGAACCTAAACATCCCGGGAAACCGCTAAAACAACCAGTAACAAGACTCTAGAACATGCAATTTATCTTCAATAACTCATATGGAAAATAAAACCAATAGGAGCATATTGATAACCAAATACATGGAAGTTTTTATACACAAAAATAAAAATACAAAAAATATAATTACCTCAAGAAATGCCTTCAAGACCCATAAGAATGCTAGCATTAGCACTCCATTAACAGAAAATCCCACCTAAATATATAATTCAAGCCAAAAAAAAAAAAAAATTAACAAAATCAGGTGCAAAGATCCCATTTTTCAGACAATAAAATCTGGGTAAAAAAATAAGTTAATAGAAGCCAAAATTATGATCGAATGATTACCAAATTGGTGGGAATTGAGACGGGGAGAACCGATCGGACGGCCCTCCGGGCTCGCCTGGACACCTTTTTGAACACATTCTGAACAAATCTCACCAACAAATCCAAACTCCGGTCTTCTTCTTCATCGTCCTCCTCATCTTCGTTGTCGTCATCGTCGTCTTCGAAATCATAGCGCCTATCGACCTCGGAGTTGATCGAACGGCCCCAATTGCGGGGGTCGTCGGCGAGACTATCGGCACTGCCGCCCTGTGAAATGAAGTCCGAAGGGTTAGTTGATTAGAATTGCAGAGAGAGAGGAGTGGAAGAGATGGAGGACCTGAGGGTAATTTGGGGGTCGTCTGGAGGCTTGGGGGCATTGAAATTGAAGTGTCAGTGTTTTAGGTTTGAGGTATGGATTGAGAGTGTGAGGGAGATGGAGTTGTTGTTGGTGGTGGTGGTGTGCTTGGGGGAAATAAGAGAGTGAGGGGGAAGAGAGAGTCGCCGATAACGGCATGGCGGAGAAAGGAGGAGGAGGAGGAGCTGAAGGTCAAAAGGTAGTTGAGAGTTGCAGTGGCTGGTTAGTTGGAGATTGGTTGCACTGAAGGGGGAACAGTCTAAACCCTATTTGCGCTTGCAGGCTCCTTATCACTATGGTAGAGTGAAGCGTTGCCCGCTACGGCTGAATTCCGTTGGTTTTCTAATTTAATATATAACTAACAAATCTATTATTTGACAAAATGAAAAAACCCTATTTACCCTTCGAACAATCAAACTTAGAGTGGCCACATTATCCTCCACTTGTAGGTAGAGATGGTTCGGTATGGGATCCAAACCAAAAATAGGATCCTGAATCTCAAATTAAAAATTTTCGGGATGGAAATTTGAAGGAAATCTCGTAATGTTTTCTGTACTTTGGGATGGATAGGAACTGGATTTTGGGTTTCAGCTTTTTAGGCTTTTGGGTTGAAATTTCAGATTTGTGGGATATGGGCTAAAATTTGGGATTTTGGTCTAAAATTTTGTTGCCCAATTTCATAAGAATTGAATTTTAGGTTTTTTACCTCATGCCAATTTGAAATTTCATACCAATTTAAATACTAATTCATTCATACCAAGTCAACTTGACGTTCCAATGTTCCAAACTACTTAATTTCATACTTCTATTTCTAATTTAGTCTATTATCAAACTGTTTAAATTCAACATTCAACATACATGCAACCAAAATATATATACATATATATATATATATATATATATATTTCAGTTCATCACGTAATTCTGAATATGAAATCTCGATTTCCATACGGAAAGGTTCTGGATGGATCCCGAAAATTTCGATATTATTGGTTTGGAATTTTTCGGTTTGGGATTGGGAATTTTTTGGTTTGGTTTGGGATTTTCAGGAAAATTTTCTAGACTAACTTGTAAGTGAGATAGAGAGTTTTTAGATTCCACATTCGTGGATAGCAATTTTGATATTAAATTATTATGGTTGGTTGATTGTGTAGTTTGTTTGAATCATAACAGTTCATTCCTTAGAGTGGTGATATATCCACCCACCTCAGGCTGGTTAAATGGGTCCTGGACTTGGGGATCAAGGCTTCGGGGCGGGCCCGAGCGATTCAGGGGTATGGGGTGGGTCCAAAATTTATGTACACAGAATGGGGTGGGGCGAAGGAAATGGCGAGGCAGGGTGGAGCGGACCCAAAAAATGTGCCAGCGGGGCCCCGATCTGGACCATAGCTAGCTTTAGATTAGATCGAATTTAACTCCACTATTCGATTTCAGACTTACTCTTCTCTGTCATCTCTCTCACGTTTATTCAAGCCTCTGCACATCACCACCAATTCACTGACTCGAGCCCTCGACATGACTTCATCTTTGTCTCCCTCTTTTTGGCGACTTGCGAGTTGCGACCACCATCACCACCATCGTCTCCGTCCTCTTTTGCTTTGGCTTTGCTGGATTTTGGGTCTCCTTGTAGGCAGAGATCGAGCCAGCGTAGATCTAATCCCCAAAGTCAGCATGGTTTTGTACCAGGTGATGCTGGATTGTATTGACGCCAATAACTTGAGGTTGGTGAGCCCAATGCTGCGATTTTGCTACCAATTTTCAAAAAACCCAAATTGGTTTTGAGTTGGGTTTCCTAATGGTTTTATATGGGAATTTAATTTTGGTTTTTCTGGGTTTTTGAGAGGTTTGGGAAAATTTTGTGATATGGGTTTTGATTTGGGGTATTTTTAGGTGGGTTTTGCCATTGTTTGCATGTGTGCTTCAAAGTCAGAAAATTTTGTCGATTTATAGGTTTTGTTACTTAATCAAAAGGAGGAAGTGCCATTGTTGAGTTCTAATTTGCGGCCTATGATTGATCCAATTATGCACATTAGCAATGGTAGTGGTGGCAGGGGGTTTGGACTCCCCTCTCAGTCTAAATTTAGAAGTGGACACTTGCCCTCCAATGCCATACCGATTCGAACAATTCAAGCTGATAGGGATGGTAGTCTGTTTGCTTATGATAATGACAAAACCACTGATTCAGAAGATAGAGTTTATGGAGGCAGGTACTGGCTCAATTCGTCACCGCAAGATGATAGGGTTCCAAGTAGTGCTGCTCATAGGTATGGGAAACCGCCACAAGGGCAGACTAATTATGGTAGTGATTATACTTACTTAGACGTCAATTCCTTGACGGACGCTATTGTGCGAAGACAAAAACCAGGGCAGTATGCCCAAAACTGAAAAAAAAAAAAAAAGAAGTAATTGGACCCGTGGACCCACCCAGTTTGAAATGGGTCAGATTAGGTCTGGTTTCCAAACTCAAAATCATTCTACCTAGCCCGTGCCTAACCCTACACCCATCATTCTTATTTTCCCACACACTTTTTAATGAAATTTTCATGATAAATTTATTCATTTATAAAACGCCAGGAAGACCTAAACAAAAATAAAATAAAATAAAACAAAGGATTAAAAAAAATTATGCGTTTTTGCTCGCCCACACTAACTATAGGGTATGCTCACCACCCCTTCCAATGATTGCCACATAATCCACACGAACCCTAGTTAAGCCTAATTTTTTTTTAAATTTTTTCTGCTAATTAATAGGAAAGAAAATCCTATTTTTACTCATTTGTTCAAAGAGAATAGAAGAATGACTTGTCTTCATTTTGCGTTTTCTTAAAATATTCAAGCAAACATTATGAGTTGCTTTTTTTAAGAACCTCGATGCACTTTCTCATTATCAAATTGTTACAATCATACAGAATCAAATTTAGTTTTTGAGACCCTCCTGAAAAGTATAAGAAGATTTAAGATGGCTGTAGTTTTGCAGAATGCATTTGTTCTATCAATTTTTGCTTGAGAAGGCTCTATTAATCATTATGGCCTCAATAAATGGGAATTTGATGCCAGGATAAGAACATGAATATGTTCAGCAACAAAGTTTGTCACAACAAACTAAATTATGTTTGATTTCAAGCATTGTCTTGCAACCACAACTTGTTTTTTTTTTCTCTCTCTCTTTTTTTTTTTTGGGAGTTCTCTCTCTTTTTTATAATTTTCTTTTTTATAAAAACCTTCATAAGAACAACAAAATTGTTTTTTCTTTTGTACACCTAACCTATCTTTGTTCTCTCTGTTTTCTCACCCTAAATCCAACACTTATACCGTGACAACCCGTCCCTAATTTTACAATTTTATTAATTTTAAATGAGTGAATTGACGAAAATGCCCTAAAAGGCGCGATCGTTGGCTTTCATTGACTATCATTTCATGATGCGTACGAGGTATGATTTTATTGTATTCTTAAAGTACTCAATGTTACGAACACGTGGGTGCAAACATAATCGAATTGGGAGCTACGACGGAGAATTTACGAACTTACGAAGTACTAGGGCATTTTGGTAAATTTATTATTCTAGATAAACTACTCCCTTTGTTATTATAATGTTTTGTATTGGTTTTGAGACATGTGGGGCCCACGCCTCATTCCTTCACCTCTCTCGAGTCCCCCTCATCCTCGGGTCATTCTCCCATTTGTTAATCACTCACACATACTCTTTCTCTCTCATCTCTCCCGCACCCTCATCTCTCTCGTCCTTTTTCCTGGGAACCACCAAGACACCACCCTTACACAAACATCTCGCTACTCTAGCGAGCTCTATCACAGCTGCTAACTGGGTTGCTCTGACAAGATATACAAGTTCTCAGCCAAAAAACTCGGACTTACACTGAGGAAAAAAGAAGGGGCCTTAAGCCCAAAACCTGGCCCATGACTTAAGCCCAAATTTGTAGGCCAGATTCGGCCCAGACCTATTTCTGCGTTGGCGTCAAAATTAGCCAAGGAATATTCCTTATGTTGGCTTTTTCAAATTTTTTTTGGAAACCCTCTTAGGCTAATTTCGACACCCCGAGTCTATTTTTGGCATCCATTTAGTGAAATTTCAAAGTTTTAATGCAGTTGACTGCCAGGGCGGCTCGGTTGACTTTTTGTAAAATTTGCCGAGGCCCTAGATTCCAAATCCGCACTCTGTTTCCCCAAATTTAATTGTCTTAGTGGAGTTTTACTAATGGGTCCTAATATTACGCTTAGGTGCGATTATAATCGGTGACTCCACCTTTCTTAGTTAAAACGGCTTCGACTCGACCACATTATCTGTGAGTGTGTCTTTTCTTTATATATATATATATATTGGTTAGTTTCCATATATACAATTATTAATAAATTCTCTATGTGATTGCCATGATTAAATTAATGTTTATAAGAAATGCCTTATTGTTGGAAACTATGAAATAATCCTACGTGATACTCATGTAAGCTTACTATAAGGATGCCTTAATTATATTTATGTTCATGAATAATGTGATGTTGACTAGAGTTGTTGAGTCACTGTGGCATGACTACATTTATGGTATCTGCTCATTGTTTGCTGCACCAGTGTTAGTACTCGCCCGAACCAAGGCCAGACTTTCACCTGTATGTGCACATCACACTGTACGCTCACTTTGGATCCATTGTAGGTGTCAATCCTGTCGTACAGGTTGCAATAGGCAACTCCGATTCGTATGTGTTATGCACAGCGCCAGTCTTCACGTGATTGTAATACTAGAGCATATATTATTGTTACACCCAGTCCTATTTATGTCAGAATACCTCTGCATGAACTCGTGTATCAGTAATGTGTCGATGAGCATTCATTATGATATGTTTGCTATTATGAGATTATATGACTTACGGACGTCGTGCACTTATTTACGAAATGTTGTGTCGTATTGATTTCTTGAGATTTTGCAGGCTAAGGTAGATTTTGTCTTACTATATGTAGTATGTATATTTTGGAAACTATACTTGTTTTACGACGAGGGGTTATAAAGTTTTCAGAAAGGTTTTTATAAAACTTTATTTTTAGGCCCACTCACCCTTGTTTTTCGCCCCTTCAGGTTTTAGCAACTGTACTTCCATATCGACGAGGATTCTTGGCAAATCTTGGTATAAGCGGTTACCTTCAGTGGTACGATTTTTATCCTACCTTACTGTACTTTACT